TTTTCTACCAGCGCAGCGCCTCCCCAGATCTGGCGCCCTAGGCGAACATCTATAACGCCAGTGCTACGGGCCGGACCCCTAACCCCAGTGGATCATCAGGACAGAGCTGCCATCCAGCTGGACACCCTGTGGTGCTGAAGAAAGCAAAACTTCCAGACCCCTGCTTACTGCACTCCTTCAGACTTGTGTGTTACTTTCAGAATTTGATTTTGTATGTGTCCTTTCTTTTAATAGATATTTAACGATTATAGCTTGAGTCTGTCTGATTCCCCAAACAGCTGCTTCTATATACTTGCTGCACATATAATACAAATAAACAACTTGATAAACACACTTTTGCTGATATTTGTTTGACTGCCGGTGATGTTAAATAACATGATTGATTTCCTCTGTCTCAATGATGAAAGTTATAATAATAGAAGACATGAAACTGCAGAGAGAGGATGGATTTATTCTTACCTCTACTTTGTGATTAGATGAAAATACAAAATTAAATTAAAATTGTAATTGTTAAACACATTGTTTATTTCATTTACTGAGGTTTTAACCATTATTTACAACATGTGTACATAAGCAGTGGAATAATAGGATATCTCTAGGTCATTAAACTGTCTTCAGTTTAATTGTATTAATAAAAAAAATAGGTCGTAGAAATGTTTAATTGTATATTTCAGCAGAGCGGGGGCACGGTGGTGCTGGACCTGGAGGTGCTGACCTGGGGTCAGTGGGACATCATCTGGGCAGGTTTAGGGGAAGAAGGAGAATATAAACTGTTATGATCACAGCTATTAAGATTAGAACACTAATATTGTTAAGAATCAATCTATACAACATGCTTTTGTTCATTTAAAAAACATATTGTTTTATTATGATTAAATTACATCAGCTATATATAATTTACTTGTTAACTTACTAATTTAACATTACTGGGGGCTAAAGGAACAGCTTTATCTTATTTACCTGGCCATGGTTCTCTTTAATTCATCGCCGACGGTGATCTCCAAAAAATGTAAAAGTAAAGTTTCTGGATACTTTTCAGCTGAGTTATCTTGTAAGCTAATTTGCTAGCAGGCTGCTGGAGCAGCGCAACCGAACAGCGCGTATCACGTGACGTAAATACGAAGCCCTCCGTAAGCTAGCCCGTCTCATTTCGTAGGCCGCTCGGTCCAGTCTGAGCCTACCCGGTCTACGTGGGCTGGGTCCTCCGTACTCCGAAGGGTGCAGCCCCTGAATTGAGACACGGCCACATGTTCTTGAATAAAAATAGATCGCTCAGTTATCGACTTATTGAGTCTAGATAACAGAACGTTTTTTTGACTGATCTGGTCTTAACAGAGGCGGAAGCTCCCCTAAACACTTGCTGAGTTGAACTGAGCGTGAGCAGCAGCCTGACACACACCGAGCTAACTAACCGCTCCTAGTAGCCTGACACACATCAAGCTAACTAACCGCTCCTAGCAGCCTTTCTACACAGCGGGCAGTCCGAAAACCGGAAATGTCTGTGCTCACCGTCCGCCTGGTCAGGTCCTTCGAGCACAGGAACTTCAGACCAGTGGTGTTCCACTCTGTCAACCTGGAGAACACGGTACTGGACTTCATGCAGCTCGTGAGAGACGGTGAGGACCACTGTTTCAGCTTCAATTTAAATCCTCTCTTTTTGTCTCCAATCATACTGTATCCTCTGTTGTTTTCAGGTCATGATAACCCTCTTTTCTTCCAGACATAGCAACAAGGCCGGGGCTCCCTCCACCTTTTAGGAAATACGCTTATGGTGTGTATGCCTGACAATAGTAGTAGTTTTATTATTGTTATTTTTATTCGTAGACTAGTAGTAGTAGTAGTAGTAGTAGTAGTAGTTGGTGTGTGTGTGTGCAAGCTACGAGTGTATGTGTGCACGCAAACATGACTAAAGTTTTAATAATGCACAAAAAAAAAAAAGGATGTTATGCATCATCTTTTTGTTGTTGTCTATATCACCTGTTCCACATCTGATTTGATTCTCTTGTATTTTCTTTTAGACACGATGAAGATTATCCACCAAGCACATGGAGCAAAGGTATCTAGGAGATATTGTCACGTTGAAAAAACATGTGTGTCTGAAGATAAATAGTCCTAAACAGAGACGTGCACAGACATTTTGGGGGCGGGAGCTCTAGTGAAAAAAAGGGCACTTCCCATAATCATTTATTTAAAAAGGTTTTAAAACAAAAAGTTAAATATAGTTGCACATCTCTGACTTACTGACCAGTTTATTTTAATACCCTCACACTCACGCAATTGTTTAATACTACTTAACAGAATTCTACAAAATAATCAGTTAACACAGAGACAATGGTCTTCTTTAGTATTCACTACGCACAAGAACAGACAACAAACCAGTAAAATTAATAGTTATTAAATGAGCAGCCAACAATCAACATTATGAAGTTACTGTTTAAGGACATTACAGGCAAAAATATCGCCTGGTGTCCTTGCGGGTACCATAAAAAGTACTAGTAAAGTATTTTACTGCATTCACCTTTAGTGTCTCCCCTTAAGTACAGTACATTAGCCTGTATGCTGTAAACTGTGTTCGTTATTCTCCCGTCCAGCTTTAAAAGGAGACTAAATGGAGTCTCTGTGAAAGTTCAATTGGGTACTTTAATTAAAAAAGGCGCGGGTTGGTCACAAGCATGATATTGTTCAGTCAGACAAACAGCTGTGATCCGCTCCTCGTTAGGGAAGAGAAGAGCCCGATCTCTCCTCCGGTGCTGTTATATATCCTCTGCTGGCTCCTCCCCGCCAGCCGGCTCGCCTCGTCTCCAATGTCCGTTGTTGCATTTAAACAGAGGATTGGTTCTTTTCACATTCAATATATGCTTAACACGCCTTTTCTCCTCATATTCTCTTTCATCACTTTTCATGTAACACATTCTAAACGCTGTAATCAATACTCTAAAAAATGCTTCCCGTTTGGTTTCCGGTCATTCCGGATGTTGTCACATGCTACTCTCGTCTGTAAACAATAATGTATTCAAATAAACTGTACCTTCATTTAATATTCAGCATGGTAGTATCTCGACATCTATAGTTCAGTGATGCAAATTAGTCGCTTTTCGGCGCCTCCCGCTTATTTAACGCTGCTTTGGGTGACTTGTGTAATTCGTGGAGAACCGAAGAGTTTTCGT